ACAGCATGCTAATATTCAAACTCTAGGGAAACAATCTGTTTTGGTGCTTCAGTTTAAAAAAAAAAAAAAACCATTAGTGCTCATGTAGACACGGGTATCTACTCCACCAGAGAAATGGGCTTAAAATGTCAGCATCTGCCAAGTCTGTCTCTCATCCATCAGTCCCCTCACTCTCTGTGTTTCTTTCCTATTAGTCCCCTCTCCTCTGTGGCCACGCATAGGCCATCCCTCATCCTCACTGGATCCAGTAATTTCTCATTCGTTTTTAAATCAGACATGATGCACACAGCGGGCTAGAGCAGCTGAGCATTTCCATCCTCTTGATGGAAAGAAGCTCAAATGCAGTCAGAATCTTTCTTTCCTCATCAAAAACACTTGGGACTTCCTTTTTAAAATTATTTCCGTTAGTAAATAACAACAATAACCTCCGCTCAATTTCATTTCTTCTTCAAGTCTTTTGCTATATTTCATGTATTTTTTAAAAGCTCTAAATATTAATTTAGTGGGATAAACCTCTCTGGGATTGAAGGGCATGAAATGAAACCCACTCTATTTAATTCCCACCACTTCCTGCTTTTAATACCACAATAAAATGACTGCGGCCCGCAACGCAGAGCTGCCACTTCCTGTTTTTAATCACATTTCGCTACAATCACATTTTGAGATCACTAGGTGAGCCCGGCAGTCAGTGACAGGTGGTCTGAGCACCGGTTTTCTTCTGCATGCAAAACACACTGCACAGCATGCGTAGCTCATAGCCTGCACTCAATGACCCCAAAGTCACAGCTGCTCTCACCCAACCCCGATCCACTCTGTAGCTAGGAGTGGTTAAGCCAAACTGCACAAGAGATGCTCACATAACTGACCCTGATTATGTGCATCTGTTAACCTAAGCTAGATTTAAATGAACGTATAGGAAGATTTTGGTCTTATTAAGCTCCAAGGTCAACTGGGACTGGCTAGTAAATAGTGTCAGTCTCAGTTTCAAGCAGTGAAGTATTCAGTCTTGCTGGTCCAGCATCTTTAAAGGCAAATGATTACATTAATTGCACATTCAAAGGGGAGGCCTTCATTATTCATGTTGGGACTGCTTTGTCCTTTTTAAATGCTTTTATTTGTTTTGTGGCAGGCAGTTAATACCTACAATAAACTGTATGGATATTCCATTTTCTTCCAACATAGCTTCCTATCTGTAATATTTTGAAGCAGTCTAATTACAAGTTGTTTTTTGGGGTTTTTTGTGTTTTCTTGCCTTTCTTCTTCTTTTTAGGGTGGACTGTGACGAAGAAATCTCTCAGCAGGAGTGCTGTTCAGAGGCTGTTTAGAGGCTGTCACGCCCGGAAGGCGGGTGGGGTATGGGTTGAGGGGGGGAGACATTGCTGACTAGCCTTAATTTTGCGTTCAATTCACAACTTCTCGACGCTTTTGAATCGTCTTATGGAGGATCTAATGAAGAACACTGCGGCAGTTGATCGAGTATTAATCACCAGATGGCTTTCCCTTTAGAAAAGAGAAAGAAATCTAGTGATGTGGCTCCCTCCATCCAGACGCCTGCCTCTCTCTCCCGCACCTCCAAGACGCGCCAACACATCCTCACCTGGACGCGCACAAACAAACGCACACATACACACACACGTCACCCCTATACTCACAATCAGAGTATTACCGCCCGTTCACACACGCACGCACGAACGCACACACAAAAACACACAACCGTGCTGCATTTACGGACTCGTATAATCCGTAAACATGCAGATGTTTTCCATCAGGGCCATGCAGATTAAGACGCCAAACACTGCCGCCCCTGTCACCGCTGTGCTGTAGATATTTTGATTAACAGCGCCGTGCATGCTTCAGCATCAATAGTCAGCTGATGCGGGCTTGTTTTCTGGTGAAATATTTATACGGGGATGTCACGACTGTACACGAGCTGTGGGTTGTTACTGCGTGGCGATGTGGCGATATCTGCACGGATCTTTTACGTTTGGGGCTAAAATACGGGCCTCGCATTGAATGACGCGAGCCGCGAGGCTTCAAGGTTGAACAATTTGGCTAGTGAACACACGGCGGCTCGCTGTCACCCGTGCACTCTGGTGAAATTTACGCGTAAAAATGCCCGACGTCCCTCCGCAATATACCATGTTTTCATTTGCTAATAAGGCAGACCATAACCACCATAACCACGACAGCTCTCTACGTGGGCTAAACGATTTTGTGATTTATGCAGCAAAAACAAAACACAAATGAAGGTGTGATACCTACCTTGATAGCTGTAGAGTCTACGGCTGGCGCAGAGGTAGACTGTGCCGATCGCCTAAACCAGTTGCCCAGACTCGTAAAAAAATCAGACAACAACAAAACCACGCCGGTTGTTGATGACACAGCTGTCTTGGTAAACAGAAGGGAAGGGAAATGAATCCTTTCCCAGATGTGTCAATTGACGTGGAAATAAAAAATTAGATATTCAGACGCCGATCACCGGACTGACGCCTTTTCTTGACGTGAAAGGTCTTCCATTTTTAGGGGGATAAACGGCGCACTGTACTACCGAGGATCGCTGTAGACTGGCCGGTGCGAGATCTTATTGAAAACCAATATGCAATTCAATGCGACGTTAAAATGCTCCCCAGCCGACATCATCCTTGTGTCTGTGTTTCTTTCAAAATCATCCGCAAAAGAAACACGCTCACAAATGCGGGGATGAACAGAAAGAAGAAGAAAAAAAAAAACGTCAAAACAAAAAATGCGCAGATGTCAGCGCGCTGTGCTGGTTCAAGCGCTGGGCATCCTCACTGAGCATTTGCATCCATATTAATATTCATACAGTACTTCCTGAGAGCAACCCAGTGGTTGTTTTGAGAAAACTGATTCCTGTTATCCTGCTATTTATCGCTCAGTGAAAGTGAAAGCCACAGAAACTGCTCATATTAACAGCACACTCATTAAATGTCCTTACTTTTTTTTTTAAAGGCTTTTTATGCAAACAACAAAAAGCCCTTTTATTTCACCAGAGTGCTGTAATGTGCAAAAACAAAGTCAGCCTGCCATATAAAACATTGTAGGAGGATCGCGGTGATGTAATGGAGGATAAAATACTATTAAGTATAAAATAAGCTCGCCAAAAAGCCCGCGCTGAGTACCACAAAGTAGGCTAAGCCGTCAGAGGAATATTAACATTTTGTATTAACTGCCTCCAGATGACCATGCAGTGAAAGCAAAAAATATTAGAGGACATCATAATATTAAATGTGAAAATACCCACTGTTTAGTGCAGATATATTTTCTTTCATATTTCCCGGTGATGTGATCAAACACTGGCATTTTCCTTTTTCTTTCTTTTTTTTTTAAGGTCGTTGTCACATGACCAACTAGCCAACACATGGCCTGTGTGAGGCTGACACGCCCCCTAAAGTCAACGGGAGACTATATGGGTGACTGGGTTGGAGTTAAAAGTGAATCTTTCAGATATCTAGATTAGGAGTGCTCCCTCTTGAGAAACACGCTGTAATCATGTGTATCGGTGGAATCTTTGGACTGCCACAAGTGGAGCCGTGAATCCAAAGTCCAAGTTTAGGTTTGATTAAAACTTTTCTAAATATTGATCAGTCACTGTGTTGGATGTTTATGTCATATGCATCTATCGCTGTTGGAGCCTAAAGATGATCTGCTGGGATAAAATCTGGTGTTAGCCTATTTAGGATTAATCTAATTTAAAAGCACATGCATGCTGACCGTACACCTGCACCTGACACATTCCTTAAAAGTCATGTCCATAACTAACAGATTATTATCACTGTTATCAGTCAACAGTGATATTGCAACATTAGCAGCATAGGTTCAGAGGCCCAACCAGAAGAAAATCCAAGCCTTTAATGTGCAGTAGACAGGACATGAAACAAAAGGATCAAATTTTTCTATGTTTAAACGGCATGGTGCTGAGCCTGGACTGGCCAGTACAGTAGCAGATGACAGAAACTTCTCCACTGCACAGGATATATAAAGTCAGTGAAATAGAGATGGACCCAGTGGGACTTTAGCTCTTTATATGATTAAGGATCAGAGCAGTTGAGTGGTGGTTAGTGTTATGAGAAGTGGTGTGGCAGTATATCTACAGTACTTCAAATGTCTGCTTTGTGTTTTGTATTCATGTTGTTGTTTTTTTCGTGGATGCTGATGGAGAAAACCGCCACTTGAGAAAGTCAGATTTTTAAAAATTGCTCCCCTTATTCAAATTTTTCAAAATAAAGTATAAGATTTTGCATTAAATCTTTGATTGACAGGAGCAAATGTGCAAGAGGAGGAGAGCAAGGTCTGTGCTGTGGTTTATTTCTGAATGTCTCATTTTTAATATCAGTTTGTCAAAAAAAACTAACTTGATCAGTCTGAATCTAAGCCTCACTCTTTCCTTATTTGATCCTATATGCCAAACTATTTCACTGTTGCTATACCAGTTCATTATTCCTCATTATTTTACAATAGAAATCTCTCAGTGCTGCATAGGGCACAATCACTTGACTTTCCTGAACCATGCAGGAAATGCTGAGCTTTCAGGGCAGAGCCTTATCACCAGGCAGGCATGTAGAAATGATCTCAGTAAATCAGTGAGCAAGAACAACATTTAGGAGAGAAACACATTCATGACATTTACAGTAGCAGGAAAATCAGCATCAGCTCATGAGAAGACTTATAGGGAAGTCTGCTTTATGTAATTTACAAGTGAAGTGGCTGTGAAGCTGCATGAGACGATTCCTAGAAATAACACCAGCTAAAGAGACTGACATGTAATCCTGATGATCACCACACCAAAGACAAAAAGGACAAAATCAAATTAAATCACTGTATGTAAAAGTACAAAGATTAAATAACTGCAGTATCTTATTAAATCCCATTAACATTTGCTGTGTTTATCTCTGACATAAGTTACTTGTGTCACAAAGTATTGGGTGGGTGGAGTTGTTATCAGCAGCTGTACACGGTCTGGTCAAAGTGCATATTGCTGATCTGCGGGGAAGCAACGAATCTGCATCCATTCAAATTAACTTTGGAATTAACTCTACTAAGGTAAAATACAACATTTTATGGAACTTTGCAGCATAAAAATTGCTTTTGGTTAGGGTTAGGTCTTGTTTTACGGCATTACTAGGCTGGGCTGCTAATAGTTTAACTTTTAAGCAGGTTAAAAAAAAAATCTAGCATGTAAGTTTGCCTGTGAGCTTGTTCATAAGCGAGTCATTTGATCAGGCTCCTGCATGTCTGCCAAGGTTTCAAGCCTCTTTCTTCCCTAAATGAAGTTTAAGAGTACATGCTTATGTGCTGGTCATCAATGAAATCGGTTGTCTGTCATAAAGTCATCTATTTAAAATTTTATGATCTTGGATAAAGCCACTTTTGTCGTTTCAAAGGCCATACGCTATACTATTCATTACAGTCGTGACCTTTACTAAATGAGAGTCCGCATTAAAATGTTATTGATAGCTGAAAAATGATGGTTTGGCCTCCAGGTTGCAAGAATGACTCGAGAAAAAACTCAGCTGAAGGAGTTTTTAGAGTCAATAAGTGTTCTGCAGTGGGTGCTAAGCTTTCTCCTCTTGGGTAAGAAGTTGCCATACTATCCTTTTTTAATGATTTCCTAACAAACATCAGTGTATTAATTGCATTATTAATTAACTCATAAAATAAATCTCTTGCTCCTTCCCAACTCCAATGCTGGTCGACATGGCATGAAAAACATCCATCTCCAGGAGTGGCTTGTATCATACTGATGGTGTATCTTATGTTTACCTCTCTGTGGCCGCTGTCTGCTCTCTACTTTGTATGGTTGGTGATGGACTGGCATAAACCCGAAAGAGGTAAAGAAATTCAAGTATGCATGAAAATAATGACGATACAAAAAACAAAATATGCAGTTTATACACTAATAAAAGGCCTACCTTTTAAAGTGTGTAACAGCACACTCAAAAATTATGATTTACAGTATATGCATGTATACTGGCTACATTAAATGGGTTTGCTGCTTAAAAATAGCTTTATTTTAGTTTTACCATTGTTTTTATAACTCTTAGTATTTAGTATAGTTTTTGCATACCAGTGATCACATCAGGATACTCTTTAGCTTTGCTAACGTGCACTGTGAAACTGGGACAGTGTTTCTAAGGTTTTCAATGTCTCCATCAGGGGGCAGAAGAACGATGTCTGTGAGAAAGTGGAAGGTATGGGAGCACATGAGAGACTACTTTCCCGTTAAAGTAAGTTTTGGGTAAATATCTTTAGATCTGTTTATTTGCTTCTAACACACAGATGCTTACTGTGTACAGGACAGCTAATATTTTCAAAAATCTCAAACCCTATGAAATGTCCAACTGAATTCCATGTTGGGATGTTTTTGGGGTACGGAAAGATACATTTTTACTCCAGTGCACACTTGAAGCACTGGAAACCTAAAATCCTGTTATTAGTCTTTACAAAGAGCATATTATATTTGAGGCCCTCACGCAGGGCACGCAGTCAAAAGCCTGCAAGAACAAGTGTCTAATCTTTGCCTCAGTCAGATGAGTGAAAATGGGCATGGCTGTTTAACAGCAGCAACATCCGTGATCACCAACATTAACCCTCTTGTGTCAATGTTCTTTCTTAGCTGGTCAAGACAGCAGAGCTGAATCCAAACAAAAACTACATCCTAGGTTCTCACCCACATGGCATCATGTGTACTGGAGCCTTTACCTGCTTCAGCACGGAGAGCTGTGGCTTTGCTGAGGCATTTCCCGGCGTGCGAGCCAGCCTGGCGATGCTGGCGGGCCTGTTCAGGATACCATTCTTTAGGGAGTACATCATGAGCGCAGGTATTTATCGCATGTTTTAGCAAGGGGACTAAACTACTCCGTTTCTTAGTCCGAGAAGCATTTTGCATTAGGCCGAAACAGCAGTTTATTGATCATACTACAGTATACAGTTCATGTTCTGCAGAAAAAAGTGATTTTACTTTGTGGAATGCAAATGGAAGAAAGAATACCTACATGTTACTGATGCTAACTGAATTTGAAAGCCTGCTGACAGTGTAGACCTGCATGTTACAGCTTAACAAAAAAGTCCCTGTTATGCTCCTGACCTGAACTACTTCTGTTCTTACTCTGTCTGATAAGGACTTTACCCAGTCAGCAAACCAAGCCTGGTCCACCTCCTTTCAAAAAGCGGCAAAGGGAATGCAGTGGTAATTGTGATAGGGGGCGCTGCCGAGTCTCTGGCATCCTCTCACGGACTCAACACAGTGGTCATGAAGGAAAGAAAGGGATTTGTCAGACTGGCCCTTGAGTTGGGGTGAGAATTATACACTAAGAAAGAAAATATACAAATATGTAAAACACTGAAACCTGAACTCTGACCTTCCACAGTGTTGATCTGGTGCCCGTTTATTCATTCGGGGAGAATGAGCTCTACCAGCAGGTGATTTTCGCAGAGGGCAGTCTGTGTCGCAGGTTACAGGACTTGTTTAAAAAAATCATGGGCTTTGCACCGTGTCTCTTTGTCGGTGAGCGCTTTGTTCTCATGCCCTACAGGACTCCAATCACGACTGTTGGTGGGTATTTTATTATTCTTTAAATAGCCAATACCACTTTTATGTACTGAGCCCATTTTATTCTCACACTGTACTCTTTTCAGTGGGAAGTCCAATCTCAGTGCCAAAGCGTGTCACGCCCACAGACGAGGAAGTCGACCATTATCACAGACTTTACATGCAGGCCCTTTCCAAATTATTCCACGAACACAAGGTCAGCTGCGGACTTTCAGAAAATCACGAGCTTCGGATAATTTAGATATTTTGACATAAACTGTTTGCACCAAATACGACTTGGAGTCACTATGGATCTGACGTGATGGACCTATATTAACATTGAAGGTTTCCTGTGATCATCAGTCTATAAAAATGTGCCTGTATTTAAAACTGCTCATCACATGTTTTAAATAATTATGACGTGAAGCCTTTATGTGGCACTGCTGTTTGTATGGAAAACACTGGAGGATTATTAGTTTAATCATGTTTGGCAATAATTTTAACAACATATTGAAAAAAATATTCTCACGTGTTTCTGAAAGCTGTACATATTTGGAATGATTCAATTATTATCTCATAACATGACATACTTTTCCTTTTTTGTTTGCATTATTAAAACAATCCCACTAGTTTTCATGAACAAAAGAAAAAAATCTTACTGGATATTGTGTTGTTTTGAGCTGTACCCCCCCCCAAAAAAAAGCTGTGTATTATTTAAGATCCACTAAAAAATTATGATGCGCTTTGTCACAGATTACTTCTTTTTATATCAGATCGACTTCACAAGTAATTTAATACTTATTACTGTAATTTGATCACAACTTTATTAATGAATCTGTTTACAGCAGTTCTGGTTGCACAATAATTACAAAACAAGCCTTTTAAGAAAAGAAATAATCTCATTACTCCAAAAAGCAGGCAGAACACAACACTGGTAAAGAGCAAAAAATGTGAACCTTCTAAAAGAAGTCCATATCATCTGGTGCATCCAGGTCACGATACTCAATGATGTTGCGTGGGTCACCTCGTGACATTCTGCAATGGATGGCAATGCAAACAGAAAAACAGTAGAAACGATCTTTTAAAGGGAGTTTCAAACTTCCACATTAGCAGAAAAAAGAAAATGTTTGTAGCAAAATAAAGACACGTACAGCGGTCTCACCTGATGTTGCGCGGCTTACCCAGGTATTCACCTTGTCCGCGGAAGTTGTCATAGTTGCCTCTGCCTCCACCATATTGGTTGGGTGGATAAGGAGGCCCACCAGCTTCAAAAAATGATTTTAATTTGAAAAAAGAAAAAGTGTTGCGACTTGACTGGAAAGCACATTCTCATTTTTAGTATAAAAGGGTAAATTCAGAACATACCACCGTAGCCCATCAGAGGAGGACGAGGCTGTGCAAAGCCCATTGGACCCTGAGGACCTTGGGGAGGAAACGGCATACTGGGACTGAGCAAACCTGCGAGATGAAACGGGCCCAGTGTATCTTTTTCTTACTATTCTGTTTATCTCTGTTGAAGAATATTTGTAGTTCTGGGTTTACTAGACAAAAATCTCAAACCGACCTTGGCTTGGGCCTGGAAGAGGAGGAAGTTTCATCTCTGGCAGGGATGGCCTCTTGGCATCCATCAGGAAATTGTTGAAGAAACTAACCTCCTTTTTCACTTCTTCAATTTTATCCCCATGTTTGTTGAGGATGTGCTTCCGTACAAACTCTGGACCCTTGAATTTGATTTGAAATAAAAAAAAATAAAAAATATATACAGAAATAATTCTTGATTATTATTTTTTTTAAATTACAACAGAACTTCTAACAAAAACTACTGGTATATCTCCTTTGTGTTTAATAAAATGCATTGACTGTGGTCATGCTGTACAGTCCTGAATACTATTCATTCCAAGTTCCAACCTTAAATTTCTTTCCACTTAGAGGGCAGAGCCATTTATCTTTTCCCAGTTCTTGTGTGTTGGCAGACACAAACTTCTCCACTTCTTCTTCAGGGTCCTTGCGGCCCATCTTCACCCCCTCTTCTTCAGACAAGACTTCTTTTAAACTAAACAAGGGGGCCAACTTCTCCTCCATCATTTTCTCCCACTGTTGCACTGTTGAATGAGGGGATGTCATCTTATTAAATTCTGAATCAACACTAAAACTTTAAAATCCTCACTTAAACTTTTTTTTGCAATCTGCATTGCCTACATTTGGCACTGTTTATGATAGGTGGCAAAATAGTCTAAGCACAGCAAATGTTTAGCTAGCAAACACAACAGTTAAAATTCACGTCAACTTCAGGATGTTGGAAGATTCATTTTCACTACAGCTGAGTCAACATTTACGTTTTCATCCCAGAGGTCTCTTTTGTGTCACGTAACATGAAAAGGGAAGAACACTGACCTTCTCCATGTGTGATGCGGTTGGGAGGAATGGGTCCACGTACATGAATCATGCCGCATCGGTTGGGCATTTCATCCTCACTGGGGTATTCACAGGTGTTGTAGTAGTCAACTGAGTGCACAACACGGAGGTACAAGACCAAACGATCCAAAACCTGAAACAACACATGGTAAAATTGACAGGCCTAGCACAGTGAAGATACAAATGGAGAAACCCACTTTTAAAAGAGAAGATCAGATGGATATTATATCTTAAACTGTTCTAAGTGTGGTAAAGGAATGACCTTGACAAGTTTGTCATCCCTCTCAACAGTCATCTCTGCAGGGTTTCCTTCCTTGATGCCCTCCTCAGAATCCATTCCACTCCCGGAGCCCAGAAGCTCCTCCTCCTCAGCACTGACCTCCTCTATCAGGTAATCGGTAATATTCTTCAGGATGGGGTTCTGCGCTGGCAACTGTGGAAATAAAAAAAACCCACAAATGATGATGATGGTCAAATAACTTGAGAAAAATCGGTTAAATTGCATGGGTACAGGTACTATACCTCACTGCTCTGCCCTTCTTCCTGGGACTTGTTGCTCCAAAGTTCCCCTTTCTCATCTAAGGCATGAATGAGCTTGGCAGCCAGCTTGATGTCATTGCGGAGAATCTGCTTGTGCTGAGTAATGCCATTAACATTACGCACCCTCCGAGCCAGATCCCTGTTCACCCCCGGTGCCAGTTCACAGTCTCGCAGCTGTGAAGGGTAAAAACAGACTGGTAAAGGCCTCAGCTGAAATTTGAACGATCTCTGCATCTCTAAAGCCACCTGCAACACAAAGTTATAGCAGTGCCAACACTTATGACTGGTGCACTTACCCGAATGTTCTGAAGGTTCCAACAGACTTCTTTGATGTTGACGCTACGGTCAAATGTCACCCAGCAACGTCTGAAAAACCTGAGACGGTGCAGGTTTCATGTCAAAGTAATGAATGACTACACTAATCCAACCATTTACACTTTAGTGTAGCAAATAATGCCAAGTTTTCATTTTTCATACCTGCGCTCTGGATGGGGATCAGACAAGCAAACACGCAGAAACCCAGGGTAACGTCGACACAGCTGAGAAGAAAAAGAAACCACGCTCAGTTTAAACCAGGACACGTATCTGTTTAGTGCACTTAAAGATCTGGATCTGATAGGTATGCTTCTTTTATACAACTCACAGCAATAATCTCAGCCTTGGAGATGGTGGGAGCGATGCTTCTCATGAACAGAGAGCAAGTCCTGTGGAGAGGCCGTGGTCTAGGAGAGTCGTCTTTGGGCTTTTTCTCTTCCTTCTTGTCCTCCTCGGAGTTCTCCTTGGGTTTCTCCTCTGGATCATTAGACAGGAAAGGGAGATTTATTTGATGAGTGCTAAATTACAGAAAGATACATATTATACTCCTGAAAATGTATAACCAGACACTACAGGCATGATTTCTCACCTTCACCTTCCTCTTCCTCCTCATCCTTGTCTTCCTCTTCCTTCTTCACTGGTTTGTCAGAGCAGTTAGAGTTGGAGTCTGAATCTGAGTCCGAGTCACTCTCTGAGGCGCTGGCTTCATCATCGCTGTCCCCGCTGCGCTTCCTCTTTCTTCTTGGCTAAACAATCAAATTGAAAAACAATCAGGCCAGTTCAATTTATTTCTTTCTCTTGGTAAGAACTAATTCAGTATCAGAAGGAACACTTACTTTCTTAGGTTCAGGAATTTCTTTTGCTGGTTCTTTCTCTGCCTCCTCTTTCATATCCTCTCCTTCTGCTGTGGCAGCTTTCTCTGTGCTGGCTGAGTCACTACCCTCCTGTGCCACAGTTCATTGTCATCAACAGAGCCTCATGAAATGTCTACCGCCTGTCTAACAGAGCACACATACCTTCTCATTTCTGTCTTTCTCCACTGGTTTGCAGTCACTACCCAAAGCTTTGAGGTCTTCTCTCTTGGAAACTTCAGTGCCCCTGGAAATAGATGCTGACTTCTCTCTGTCTTCTTCCTCTTCAGATGGCAGATCCAAGATGCGAAGATCATGGTCTGTGCCCCCTTCCATTTTTATCACAGCTGAAATGCAGAAAGAACGTTATGGTTCAGCCATAGAAGTACTCTTCTAAGTACCATCCATGCAATTAGGTCAGATCATTTTTGCTTTTATTGTAAAAGCAGACTTAATTGTAGACACAAATGAAAACTCCACAGGTTAACAATGCTCTTTAAGTTGTTTGAGACCTCACCTGCATCCAAAACTTTGATGATGGCTGGGGTCTGTTCAATGTCCAGGGAGACATTATCAAACCAGCCGTTCTCCATTAGGAAAATGAACACATTCAGGCGGTTGTGCAGAGCCCTCTGGGCCTCTGCCTTAAGTCGTCTGGCCTCATCAGGGTGGTACTTGGATCGGAACCTGTGTCCAGAGTTGGGCGTCCACAACAGATTGGGGAGAGAATGATGGGGGTTGGGATGAGCGGGAAGCAAAAGTTAGAGAACAAATAAATATTACAAGCCTACGTTACATCTGTGTATTTTACACTTTTTTTCTTAAGTTTCTTCTAATCACATTTTTAACAGAACATTTATTCTGAATAGGGTTTTTTTTATGTTAAACAACTCCAATTCAATAAGCAATCTAGCATATGACAAAACTTTAATTTGTCTTCAGTATATCCTAGTTATTATAATTTTCTGTAATTCTATGTTTTGACTGTGGTCTTCATAGCCAATTACTCAACAATGTTAGAAGATTTGAGATTAACTCACCAAAAAAGAAAGAAAAAAAAGGCAGGAAAAAAACAACAGAGATGATCAAATTAAACATTTACATATTCAAAATGTCACATTAAAAATGTTAGCATTAAGTGGACTACAGTTACCTTTTGTTCTGCCAGTTTAATAACAAATAAATACAGAGAGCGGGGTCTCTTCTGTGAAAGTGCGCTCCACTTCACCCCAATGGTGTGTCTGTATGCACACAAATTCGGTTTTGGGATTTGATCCGAATATAAAAAGAAAATTGTGTCGAAAAAGGATAAAACAAGAAAAAAAAAAAATTCCGTGTGCGGACGACTACATGGCTGTCTATCTAAAATCCCTGTTACTGTGTGTCTAAGAGCAACTGCATTGTGCGCAGTGCATGCCCTGTCTGTCTAAGACCGATTCTTGCGGATGAGCTCCACTTTTTCTCATCTTGAAAAAAATCGTCGTCAACGTAGTAGTTGAAATGAAGGGAAGAAAATGGGTTATGACAAAACAGAATAATTTTGCATGATACC